AAAAGAATAGAGAGGACCAGATTTGGGCAAAGATGGGCAGGAATATTATAGATTTGTTATTGGACATGCTGCTTTTGAAGTATCCAAGTGGTAAAACCAAGAAGACAATTAAATATGGGGATCTGGATATCAAAGGCAAAGTGAAGGACTTAAATAACAACTTATGAGTCATCTAGGTTTAGAAAAAAGTGAAAAAAAGTTTATAGAATCTGATAATACTATATTCATTTACTTGTTATTTACACTCTCTGATTTCATCAGCGAATTTTCAGGGGAGTTCAAACAACTTATGTGAAGGAGAATTACTTTCATGTTGCCAAAAAATTTAAAAGGCTAGTTGTGTTACAAACCTGAGTAAAAGACAGTAGTCCATGATCATGATGATGATTGGTGGTGATAGAAACATTAACCAATACTGTTTGTCTGGCATAGTATTAGACTCTTTATCTGTATCATCCTAATTAAGTGTTAAAAACTCACAAGGTAGATATCCTACTTTTCCAGATGAGGAAACTGAGGAACACACACATAAAATAATTAGTCTGAGGTCACAAATCTCATAAAGCACAAATCAAGGATACCTAAAATGAGCAAGTCTTTCTCATTTTAGAACCTAAATCCTCTCTTTTCCTCTATGTTGTACTGTTTTTAAGTATAACTTTGTGTACCCAAATACTCTTAGTCAAGGTCTTAGTCATCTTATAATTTCCTCAAAAGAAATAACTTGTTTATAACTTCTTATACCATATCAATCATATAAGTAATGACTTTAAGTTTTCTCATCTAAAAAAGCATATATTCCTAAATATATACACACCAGTTAAAAGTCATGTTGCTTATAATTGCCTTTAATAGCAATAGTACAATAAAAAACATAAGGGATCTTATTTGTAATTTTGCTGTTCATTCACTCATTCATTCATCAATATTGAACACCTGCTTATGTATCAAGTACTTTGAGGGGGTTAGAACATTTAAATTCTGCCCTCTTAGCAAATTTCAATTATACAATACAGTGTTATCAACTATAGTCACCATGTTATACATTAAATCCTCAGACTTTATTAGCTTCATAGCTAAAAGCTTGTACCCTTTTACCAACCTCTCCTTATCTCCCCCTCCCGCAGCCCCTGGCAGTCACTTTTCTGCTTTCTGTTTCTATGAGTTTGACCATTTTTTTTTCAGATTCCGCATGTAAGTGTTTTTATACAGTGTGATTTTTTTCCCCTCTGGCTTATTTCACTTAGCATAATACCCTCTAGGTCCATCCATGTTGTTGCAAATGGCAGGATCTCCTTTTTTAAGGCTGAATAGTATTCCATTGTGTTTTTATACACCATAGTTTTCTAGTTTGTAGATTTCTCTTCAAGATATGGATTTCATTTCCTTTGGACATACACTCAGAAATGGGATTGCTGGATCATATGATGGTTCTATTTTTAACTTCTTGAGGAATCTCCATGTTTTTAGTAGTGGCTGTGCCAGTTTGTGAGTTTCTTGTATATTTTGGATGTTAACCCCTTATCAGATATAATGGTTTACTAATATTTTCTCCCATTCCATAGGCTGCTTTTTCATTTTGCTGATGACTTCCTTGCTGTGCAGAAATTTTTTAGTATGATAGTCCTACTTGTTTATTTTTCCTTTTGTTGCCTTAGGTTTTGGTGTCAAATCCAAAAAATCATGGCCAAGACCAATGTCAGGGAACTTACCCCTGTGTTTTCTTCTAGCAGTTTTGTGATTTCAGGTCACAAGTTCAAGTCTTTAATTAATTTTGAGTTGATTTTTATGTATAGTGTAAGGTAAGGGTCCATTTTATTCTTTTGCATGTGGATATCTAGTTTTCCCTGCACCATTTATTGAATAGAAAGTCATACTTTTTCTTTGCATGAGGTGATCCTATGGCAAAAGGATCCTAGTAGGGTGAGGACTGATGAGCGTCCGTTGTGTTTGCAGTTAGGAGATACTAGGGAACACTGTTAGCTCCACTAGTGCTGGGATTGGAAACATGCTAAGGTAGGTTGAGGAAGTTACTTAGAGTTATTCAGCTAGAAAGTGACTTAGAGCTGGGGTTTGAACCTTGATCTGTTAGACTTTACCAGCCCATAAGAGGCTGCCCTGGGAACATCTTTTCTAGGCTTTGATTCCAGCCCAATTCGCCCCTTCACACTGAAAAGGTAGAAACAAAACTAGTCTCACTATGATAAACTGGTCCTTTTACTAGTATTTGACAAGGTAGGATTCCACTTATGGGGAGATGTTAAAGAGAAACAAAATGCTTCACTATTAAGTAATGAAAGAATTCAATTTTAAAGTCTTTTCTGACCCTTGACAAAGTAATGAGACAAAAATTGTTGCTTCTAGCATCCTTGAGACTGACTCCAGTAAGCCACACCCATTTTTCTTTTCATAGAATAGCCATTTCAGGGAAGTCATGCTAAGTTTAGGATTTTATTTTTACTGTTGTATAAATGTAGAACATTTTATTATTGTATAAAGGTAGAACAATGTTGAAAAAGAAAGTGAATGTTTATATTTACTTAGTTAAACACAGTGGGTCTGAAGTTCTTTCCAGAATTGGCTTTTCAGAGCTCTTTTTTCCTTCCTATTGTTTCTTTTTATCAGAGCTTTTTGTTGTCTGTTTCATTTAACCTCAGTATAGAAAAGATAGCTTTGTGTCAGCATTTCTTTTCATATCTCTTTTTGAAGTTATATGTAATTTGTGGAAAACAAATAATAGGTATTAAATGGTATGTTCTCATTCATAAAAATGTAAGGCTTACCTTAATTGGATGTAAGTGATATTTCTGAATAATGCTAAATATGAGTGTTTGTTAATGTGTCTCTATGTGATTAGATGGTAAGAAGTGTTATTTAAATTATGTGGAAATGTCTGTTGAGGTCTAACATTATGCTAAATTCCTTAATGATACTTGTTTCCTTCCAGATCTTAGTTTTCAAGCAGCTTCTCGAATAATGTCTGCTCCAGTTTATGATGCCCTGAAACTAATGAAAGACATTTCACAGAACTTCCCCATAAAAGCCAGGTATATTAAAGTTTATTGGTTTGATTATATATAGCCAGAATTCTTTCCATTAAATAAATTTTATGAAAAAGGCTGATTTCATTTAATATAATGATGTCAATTAATTCTAGTGTATATGGAGTTTATGAAATCAGGGTGTCACTTCATTATGTATGTTGATTTATTTTTTTACTAGAGCAGAATATTGGTTTATGCATGCATGTGTACATGCTGTGAAATAGAGCTCTTGAGTTAGAGGCAAATGGAAAGGGGAAAATAATTTATTTTAAAAATTGTTTAAACAATAGACATGGTAATCCAAGAAAAAACTGGTTTCAGTAACTTAACATATAAAGAGATATTTTTCTCTTTCTCCTAGAGAGGATGATGAAAAGTATTAATCTAAACAAAACAAATATCTGTATATGTATGCATGACTGGGCATTGTACTGTATACCAGAAATTGACACATTATAATTGACTACACTTAAAAAAAAACAAAAAAAGAAAACCCCAAAACTAAATAGATCTATGCCCAAAGTGTGGCCAAATCATGTTCTTGCCCTTTCAGATTCCAAACAATTAGTAATGTGTTAATTGTATGGAATATTTTGTGGAATACTTTTTTGCCAATAAGAAATCTAATTGAATTGCTTTCAGAAATATTAATGTTACATTAAACACATCTTCCAGCTCAATAGATAATACATTTGCATATCCAAAAGTAACTAATAGATACAACTGAGGTTATCATATAAGGATTTTCAAAACAACAAGACTTCGATGCATTTATATTCTGGTCAGGAATCACGATAAAAAAATATAAGCAACGAATGAAATATAAACTAAATTAGCTTATATTGAAGATACAAAACATGGGACTAGTGCAGCAATAGTGTTTCACTGAGAGGAGTCGGGGAGCATCCTTGTGCTCTCAGCATCCCTTCTTAAGCGGTAGATGATCACTAGGCCTCTGTCTCAGACACTTTGGTACATTTATCCACAGAACAAATTACTGAATCTTAATCCTAGACAGTCTTTGCCTTTGTAAGATAAATAAATAGTGTATGGTTGGCCACAAGATAACAGAAACCTTTTCACAATACCCTGAAAATAGAGCGGTTTGTCACCTTATTTACAGATTAAGAATTAATATATTGATACGACTTTCAGTCAATTTTAGTTTAAACAGTCAAGAATTTGATAAGTCAGTGTTTATATATTAAAACATGAAATACATGTGTGTATAAATATATATGTTTAGCCACACTGCTGTTAATTATCAGTAGCTTTTGAAATTACTAGATCAAATACCAATAAAGCAAAATTATTTTAGTTTTCAGAAGATAACTGATTAGCTCTTCTGACAGTAAGTCATTATAACTGTTCAAGGGTTTTGTTACTAAGCTCTGCCCTTAGTTTGTGGTTGGTCATTAAAAAGAAATTTACCAACTATGTAACGCTGCTTAAGGGCTAAATGGTAGGCTTGAGCATACTGCTTTCCCCTAGCCCCATCAGTGGTGCAACCATAATTAGTGCCCACGCCTCAAAGTTCTGCTTCCATGAGATGTTCAGACTTAATAAATGGTGTTTGGTTTTAATTTTTATTAAATAAATAAGTCACTCTGTAGACAACCAGTAAATGTTCATTGAAATTAAATATTTGATGAATGAAAAGTTTGCATTA